TTTGCTCAATATATGTATTGCAAATAATAGTGTGCGAAACCAAAATTTGTAGAAAATCTAATAAAAATTTATCATTAATGTTTATAATTCGTAATTTTGTAGTACTAAAGTGCTGGGTACATTTTCTTTTACAATTTCTCACCTTTTTTTCTTTTTTTGACTACATAACTGCTAAAATGATAAGAAACATTCAAAAAGCAGCAATATAATAATTGTAAAATACTTGTACAAAAAATTTAGACGTATACGTATACGCATCTTAATATTTTCCTTTAAAACACATTTTTGTTTTGCACATCAAATTTGTTCGGCAATGTGCCGTTTTATGTTGTGCGGAATTATAATAACCTAACGACTTTCAAACTTGAAGAAAAGTTAAATAAATTACTAATCGATCATTTTTCTTATTTATAAAGTTGTAAAAAACCTTACTTCAGTTCTGGAATTTTTGTAAGCTCCCTCCGTTTGAAGTTCTCGCCTTAATTTTCGCAAGTATCGCTGTATACGTTGACGATAGCGCATCCTTCGCCTATTTCTGATCGCAGAATCAACTCGTTCTGGTGGCTGCATGCGCATCCGGGTTTTCGCTCTGTATCGTTGCCGATAATCATCGCTAAGCTCTACGTTATTTGGTAAGGCAATGTCGAATGGTTCAGCGTATGTATCCTCACCGGCCACTGAAAATGCCTTTCGAGTTTTTCTAATGTGCCTAATACTGGTGAGATCCCGATACTGTGAATCTGAAATATATAGTGCTTAGTTTTTAGTCTGTTCTTAGCAGACAAGCTGATCAGCATAAGGTCGTTTATGGTTACAGTAACTGCCCGTTTTTACAGACAACTGTCATTGAACAGTTACACTTACTAGCACTAAAATGCTTACCGAAAAGTTTTTGAGAATTAGATGTGCTTGCAACTTGGCCGTCTTCAATGAATCTATTAGGATGAGCAACTATGTAATAAGCTGATGAAAATGTCGTCATTAGCAGTATGATCCAAAAACGGGTTTTCATAAATGGCCACGGTTAGCGATGACAGTTGAAATCTACTCGCCAGCTGTGTTTTGGGCCAAGCAATACATAAAGTTTTGAGTTTTAGTTGAATCTTTGTTCGCTTTCATATACAAGAGAAAGCTAATAAATATGAGAAGAATAAAAAAATGATTCGCTATCCGAATGGACCAAAATGTTTTCAAATTAGATTAGTTCTTTGAAGAAATGCCATCAGGCACGAATACTCGACAGCTTCAGCTTCACCAAATCTAATCCTAAAAATAGGCTATCTTTATTCAGGTATTACGATTGTTTAAAAACTAATGATTAAGTTCATACCAATTAGTGCACTGTACGCAATAAAAAGCTACGACTACAATAAAACATTTAAGAAATCACTAAAGCTGCAGTGATCAAATATATTTGAAAAATTATTTGTTCAAATTTAAATATATTAATTATTTGACATGTAAAATTATTAAATTTGCAATATTTGGTAACATTTACATGTTCAATAGACCATTCAAATACATCAATTCGTGGCGAAGTTAAGCTGCTTATCTGTCTTTAAACCATTTACTGTCTGAACAGACAGATAAATCCTTGTTTTTCAGGTTGTTTGTATTATCATATTGCTAATTTATGCTATTATTCAGCTTAGTATATTCTTTCTCATTTCCTACTTAGTAAAAAGATAAATTCTTTTGCAGCCTGGTATGATTCAGTTATAAGTTTTTCGATACGAGCGTCTAGAAGGAAGAGAAAGAGAAGAAAAATGGACAAAAGCAGAAGAGGGAAAAAATGTGTTTTTCAGTTGGAAGTTAAATGGTTTAATAATTAATTCTGTTTTTCCTACAAATTAGATAAGAAACTGACACATAGTGCACGACTTGCGAAGACGAGAATTTGAGTCAAGCAGTAAAAAAAAAAAAGTTTAAAAATCGTTTCAGTATCGACACAAAACTTTGCGATCATTCTTCTTGGAGAAACAAAAAAAAAAAGAACGAAAAGGCTCTCATTTGCTTCTGTAAACAAGTTTTGTCAGAAGACAAAATTGTTAAAATACTATCACAAACATATTAGTTTTTCTTCTTTCTTGTATACTGAGTAAAAGAAAAACTTATTATTAGAAATTCTTCTGTCCCATAAAATGTTCAACAAGCAACTCATTAAGAAAAAAAAAGAGATCTTAACAACGATAAAAACTGTAAAGAAAAAAAAACAAAAAAATAAATCATATCTGTATGTAAAGAAAATTAACAATCGGTAAACTAAAATTTATAAAAGTTTGTCTGGGAGAGTATAGCCTAATTGTTAGAAGAATTTACAGTTGATTGAATGTTCTGTACAATTCTATATGTTAGCACAGTCTTTTATGCAGTAAAATAAGAAAGCATAAGATGTTATTAAAGCAAGCTTAAAATTGTCAAGACAAAGATTTATTTTAAAGACTGATAACTTAAAATGAATAATTTTTTTTTGTTTAACTAATCTTTGATTTTCGTTTTTTTTTTTAGCTTAAGTTATTGAGAAATAGAAAACATGCCGATTAATAAAAAAATGATTCATAAAACAGAAGAAAAAACACAAGTGAATTCTAAAAAAAAGAAATAAGACAGCAAAATTGTGTGATTAACTCCAGTTTAAGGTTTCCTAGTTCATTCTTCTAAAGATTCTTTTCTTTGGTAAAGCTTTGTTTTTTTCAAGGATAAATTTGGTAACCAAATTAGTGAAACTGTTAATCACTGTTTTTTTTCTTCATCAGATCTTCTCTGAAGTAAGATAAAGACTTGTTGAAAATTTACTGCTAATACCGTTCCACGTTTTAACCAACTGATATGAGAATTTTTAACTGTTCGAAGTTATAGACGAACATTTCGATGTCGTTCGTATCATTTTTCAGAAGCTCTAAAACAACTGAAATATTTTTAAAAAGGAAAGGACACCAGGAACAAAGTTTTGGACAGTTTTTGACCGACTTTTTGAAAAAAATTATTCAAAAAAACAGCTTTGTATGCTGCGTTTAGTTATTATTTCAAAAACAGTGTTTGTAATACCCAAACTGAGTAACATTTAATCTTTAAACTTTTCTTCAAACTTTTTCAAATGCAAAACTATAAACTAATACAACTACGGTAGAGTACTGAAAAAGCAAAAACAAGAGGTGTCGTTTCATATAATCCCACTATAACTTTAGTGTAATTTAGGAACAAAAAAGACAAAAATTAAGTTAAAAAACTGATATTTTTTCAAATTTAAACTTTATATAAAGAAAAAAAAACACTGACTGATCAATCATTTGAATAATACTTAAAAATAGCTAATTCTTTTTTGCTTGTTATTAGCCGGTGTTTCATCAGTTTACTAAACAGTAAAATAAAATAAAGACAAATGAATAAATAGCAAAAATTTTCTTTTTGTTGAAAGCTTAGGAAAAAAAATCATTTTTTTTTTTT